TGCAGACGTTCTGAGTACACTTGTACTGATTTGCAATCGGTCAAGACGACGGATTCAGCTTGATGTGGTTATGAATTGGGTTGAATATTCTTAAGGAGGAGCTTGATTCCGTTAAGGACTGGCTTGCTTCCGAAAAGGTATAGATCAGTTGCGGAAAGCATCGATCAGATCCTCGTCGTAACATCAGTTGAACAAGTCTACTGTTTAAGCAGTGCGACGCAGCTGATTTCACAATAAATGACAGGGCAGACGCAGGGACTAAATTGCTCAGGTGAGCAGGCTACTTTAGGAGAAAAAGAATTTTGTCTGCGTGAACAGTGACCAGCATCTAGATTGATCTGGAAGAAGGTTACAATGATCAAACCAACTGTCTTAGTGAATGGTGCACCGCTTATATTGGAATAACCGCCAACAATACTAGTGGAGCATCATAGGTTTAGTAACAATGCGTTGCGAAAACTTTTAAGTCCGATGTACCACGATCTGCGTGGACGTTTCCGACGATGATGGGCAAGAAGTCGCTTGAAAATTCCGGGTTGCATGAAACCAGAAGACAACTTATTGAGATTGTGGAGTAGGTGGACATTAGGACTACCGAACTGGACTAAAGCTGACCAACGTGGGTGGTGACACTTTCACTTCCGTGTGGGGGATTACCTGTGCGGTCGAACCTAATGGGACGAGATATACATGGGATTGAAGAACTTCATCTCTGGCATTAGGACTTAACCAGTTTTTCGTAGCGTAACGAAACTAACAGTACCGTATACGTTTCGCTGCATAATAACCGTGACGTTCACACACTGCTATCAAAATGTGACCATTAATCGCATGAGTTGATACCCGTCGACAGGGTGGCGTTTACGATCGAATTGCTTCCGCTTTCCTCAACACTAATCAAGAGAGTCGGATGACACTGTTTTTCACTTTGTGACTATATGCAACGACACAAGAAGTTCCGCGTGTTATCCCTAAGACATTGCAAAGGGATCGAGGGAACAAGACAACAGTAAGAAACTCCGTGACAATTGTACTAAGTAAAAAGCCAAACGCAACCCGAAGAATACGAGACGTATGACAGAAGACGGCATTCCAACGAGAAAGCGAATGATTGAACTAAAAGATCCGTACGAAAAATAGTCCAAGGTCAACAAAATACCTTCCCGATAAAAACAAGAGCAGCGTACCGCAACGGAGAGATAGATCAACATGATGGGATCCGTCGCAAGGAATAGATCAAACAGACGGCGGACATCGTCCATCTCCGGCAACACGTGAGCAAACCAGGTGACAATCCAAGCCAAAGCGAAATGCGGGCCAAGGCCAACGGCTTCCAGATTGGCGGCCAACGTGGGTCGTAGACGGGTGAGGAGTGCGAAGATTAACTGCATATACTCTACCGTGCTCTCCATTGAAGGCTCCATGAACAAACTGAACAAAATAATCGGAAGAGAGTGGGATAAGGAATCACGGAGTCAGACATACAACCCTTAACGCGGTGCCTTTCTATCATTATCTTCAGCAGGAGTGTGTTATCGAAGTCAGAAAGGTCCACGACGTCAGTTAGGACAACTTTGCCGGATAAAAATGATCCCGCGAACACGTAGTCCAAAGCGCCACTATGGGACCTTATCGATGCATAACTAAAGAAGATTCTCTTGAATAAGTAGATCGTTGTCGATGCCGGACAATGCAACCATTAATAGTAGATTGCAAGACCAGCATGAGAATGGGGTACACTCGTGATAAGGCAGTAAAACTATGCACGGAGAACAGCTGGCGCTGACACATCCGCAGAGATGCAGGGTGAGTGATACGAGGACGGGCATCTGGTTAGTAAAGAAGAGTTGGGGGTTAGTGTATTTATGATAGATTCGTCGCAGCCGGACTCAGACACTACACATTCAGGAAAGCGCGAGACAGATGTTTCGTCCTATTGGGACTTGTCAGTAGCGCGCACCCACCGAATCCTGCCGGATTCGTACCCACGAGCCACAGACTTATGCCCCTGAGCTATGGATGGCGGAGGCGGACCGCTATGACTGAGTTCTAACAGCGATATAGAGCGGATCGTCCTACACTGTCAGGCATGTTTTGAACGTGCACATGGTAGGGCTGGCCCCCAGAGCCACGACTTCCTTTGCAAGCCGCCACTAATCGAAGTGGCATGTAAGCTGCCAAGGCGATTACTGACTATACTGGTCAACAACAATGGTTTTTATGCCAGGGATATTATGGCGGTTTTAGGAAAAGTTCGTGTCACTGATACCGATTCTGGCCTCGGTTTTGATATATGAAGCATGTATGAAAAGTCGTAAAGTCATAGAAAACAAGAGGATGTTCAGCCTAAGAATTACATGGAAATTGTTTTTTTACTAGAAATATATAAATGGTAAATACCTAATGGTCATGTATACACGGTACCTGCAAAAACAAGCTAACCCGCTGGGGTATATCATGACGGTTAATTCTGGAAACAAACGTTTTTTTACGATTTCGTGCCATGAGATTCATCTACCAAGTCATCTAGGATGCTCCAGCGGTAGCCTGTCATCAGTTGTTTGTCGCACCTGCCTTGATATCTTTTTCCAGTACCTTAATGTCCTGATGGAATCTATCACCATGTTCTTCGCTGAAGTCACCATGATTAATTGGGAATCCAAGTGACTATGCAGAGGTTTGTGCTCATGTTACAACCCAACGTATTAAGGATTGTAAGCATATTCTTCACTAATTCCTCTGTTTACCCGGGAAGTTCTGGACAACGGAGGCAAACGCTTCTCAGGCGCGCGCCTCACTATCCATAAATCACTAATGAGCTGTCTGATTTGAGACTCAAAGAAGATGCCAGCTTTCAATTTCTCCATATTCAGTTTAAGGTATGAAATAAAAATGTACTTGGACAGTGCTTTAACAAATTGTTTCATTAGCCCTGACTTATATGAGATGGTGAGAGAACAATCACTTCTCTGTCAAGCAAAGGCTTTCTGATAATGTTCGCTACGCCCGAATTCATGTTTTTTTTCGGGTGGCCAAAGTCACTTTCTTCCAACGATGTTGAGTGACCTTACTGTCTTATAAGCATACGAAGCAAGGCTACTGTGCGTGTCCACTTTGATGTGCAACCATAAAGTTCATCAACATTAAATTTACGAAAATAATCCAGTATCGATGGCAGCGATTGAAGCCTTTCACATGTACAGCTCAGAAACAACAATCCTGGTGATGGCTTGTCAGTTCGCTCCAAACTACAGACATACTAGAACGCAAAGTTGTTCACTTGCGGAGACACTATACAAAGGTTACGCAATCGTTATAAGTAGCCTAGGACTTATCTTGATCCATATGTTTTACACCAAAGTAAGCGCAACTTGCTTGACTCATAATGGAGTGACATTTATCTGTTGCTTTGCTACAATGAATTCGCCACAAATGTAGAAGAATACATTGGGGCTGTTCAAAAAGCTACGTTGAGAAGAAGTTACATATTTGGGAAATAAACAATAGAAACTTTAAATAAGTACCTATTGATAGTAGTCTTAAATAATCAATTATTTTGCGGATTTTGAGCAGTTCTCCGAGCTGGGTAATTATTTTGCAGACGTTTCGTTGCCTGACTAGGCAACATCATCAGTGCGGCTTCAGGGGCCTGGTTCGCAGTGCCTCGTAAGCGACTTCAATGTCCAAGTGCTTATTGATCGAGTTCTGTTTTATACAAGAAATAAAAGCAAGTTGAGAAAACTGCTTCCGCATGCGAAATCAGCGCCACTGAAATACGAGAAATTTGTTGAAATATTCCCGATACTAAGAAAAATGTATTTTTCGTTGACCAGTGAACAGGTGGGGAGTTGTCGCGTTTTTGAGAAGATTCGTCGTAGTTAAACGCAACCACACAGCCACCAAACATCCAGAGGAGTGCTATATCATTTCGACCAATCAGAATTCGTCAAGTTAGCTCATCCTCCGGATCCTTTTGGATCCGAACCTGACCTTATTCTTACGGGACAGTAACTGAACTACTGAGCCATAGGTGGTTTAAGTCACTGAAAGAATGGTCATGGGTTTGGATCTAGCAAGATCTGGCAGATAGGCGCTACTAACAAGTCCCACTAGGAGGAGACGGTGTCTATCGCCTTCATGGTGTGACGGATGTCTGACTGACCTTGGGTGCGACGAATCTTCTCATAAAGGATATCCGACTAATACTCTTTGGCAAGGTAGAAGAAAACGGCGCTTTCCATTTTCTCGATGTAGCTCTACAAAGACTTGAAGATGGTGCGATAAAACGTAGCGTTTACCGAAAGTGCACTTGGAATGGACAGTACACAAACTTTCATAGCTTTGTGCCGCTTCGGATTAAGAGAAACTTGGTCCTCAGTCTCGTGAACCGGGCCGAAAGAATCCGCTCGAAGGATACTCTTTTCGAAGAGCTGCAACTAATACGAGCGACACTAAAAGAGAATGGCTACCCAGAGAATTTTATTAATGCAAATATGGGGCGAAACAGGGAAGCACCTATGGTAATGACGGCGGAACGGAAACCTATCTTCCTACAACTGCCTTACAAAGGGGAAATAGTGTCCGAGAATCTATCCCGCCGTCTCACGTCCGCACTCAGGAATACCTTCCCAGCGGCGGGGTTGCAAATCCGGTTCACCAGCAGCCCAATGGTGAGACTAAACCTCAAGGATAAGCTGTCTGTCCACACCAAATCAATGTGTGTACACTCATTTACCTGTTCCTGTGGGGCAGGATACGTTGGTCGTACGACAAGACGCTTATCCGAAAGGGTGAAGGAACACCATCCGGCCTGGCTCGGAAATGGAGGCCGAAAGGTCACCAACTTTGCCATCGCCACGCATCTTGCGGATACGGGTCACGCCACCAAGTTGGCTGACTCGTTCAAAGTAATCTATCAGGCCACAGAAAATCGATCAAGGTATTTCCGTAAGCGGATATTAGACGCCGCAGAAGCCATCGCCATTCGGCTGTACGAACCAGCACTGTGCACGCAGAAACGGTTCACTCACGCGTTGAGCCTACCTTGGCCAGGACGAACTGCAGTTGACCTGTACGCACGTACGAATACAACTGTAACCTAACCGAAGGTGTGTCACAGCGCACTAAGATCAATTTGGTTGACTGACGACCCGTTGGGTCTGTATACTTGCATTTCATGTAATTGTACAAGCCTGATGAAGAATTACCGAAAACATATATTCGCTTACACAGACTTCTGATGCAATAATATTAGCCGAAACGTCACGAAGAATGCGCACGTGTGCATGGAAGCAGAAAAAATAAAACCCTGTTTACTAAATTGACTAGTTGCACTTAGAAACAGTAGATAAACGCAACCGCTTAGGGTGGACAAGTGCTTAAAAGATGTGCTGTGAAAAGGGTGCTAAGATGGTCAACCAGTCGTCGCTGAAAACGAACACACCTCAATCTCGTGGGGAGAATTCGGTTAAGTACTGCTCGGGCGCCCGTTTCTCCAAGGACGGAGAGAAAGATGTAGCAGATATCATGGAAGCCCTGAGAGAGAGAGAGAGAGATGTAAAGAAGGATGAAAACGATGCGCGGAGCAGAGATGAAACATTTCTAAAAACAGAGTTATCGCACCGAATTTATAAAAAAGTGAAAACAAACTAATCAAGATGCCCAACGAAAACATATCCACTCATGAGTGTGGAACCCTGATTCAATTTTATTGAAAGTTCATCATCGTAGGTTCCAAGTCAGATAGTGTTGCCCACGTCCGTAAAAAGAAATCGGCGGTCGTTTAGTCCTAAAAGGACTCGTCAGTAAGGAGCATTCCTCAGCTCCATCATGAACCGAACCCATGACTAATGGATTGCACCACTAGCCAGCAGCTAATATCACTAAGCGACAGGGGAATGTAGTGGTAGTAGTAGTCATTGCAAGAACCCAAGGTGCGAATGTCGCAACTATCATCAACCATAAGCACAGTTCTGGTCACTAAACATTTTTGATCTTGCGCGTAGATGTTGCGTGGCGCGCGCCACTACTGTTTTTAATTCTATTTACATTCTTCTGTTGCGACACTGTTATAGTTTACTGTCGTCTCGTTACCTTCTGGCTCACTTGGCACTTTTATACTACTGACATATTGTTCAGTAATACCTGAATCGCCTCGCAGTAGGCGTTCTGGAATAAACATAAACCAAATCATGACCGCCGGAATTCAATAGACGACGAAAATGCGCCCGTTGTGTTGCGGAATGAGCCCATATTATCAAAGCAGATCAACCCAGACTCCCCGCCCCTCTTTGGTGAAAAGTGATACCCCCAGATGAATTGCAAAAGCAACGAGTCAATTGCTATGCCACTAAGCTCAGCAATGGTCTCCTCCCCTTCCTCGCGGAGTACGCCTCATGCTCCCTCCGGTCCACAGTTGGTAACACGTAGAAAAAAAAACAATGAGCGGGTCAACTGACAGAGAAAATGGTTGCCACGCGACCACCAGGGATTGCGCTCAAGCCAAAGATACTGCGAGACTGCTCGCACCCAACCAGGCCTGAAACGGGAACCTGTGCACTACAGCCTAGAAGCCTGAACCGATCCACCAACAACTAGATTAGGCAAAAAGGAGGCCGTAAATTCACCCTTAGCTTACCAGAGCGTAAGAGTGGTCGAACATTGCATGAACCTATGAATGACAGAAGCGTACGCGAAAAGAAGGAACCAGTCAGCCAGAGTGATATTTTCAGTTGATCGATCAATGGATACAAAAGGCGTCGTTGGAAAAGTAGCGCTTCTCGATTGGACTCAATCTAGTGCCAGTATGATGAGCAGAGGTAGAATATGACCGAAACAAAGGAGAAGTTGAGGTTTAATGTGGTACAAATTCCAAAGTAGAAAACTTTTTACACTCAACACGATGAAATCACGCCCATCAACTCCCCTGACGTGTATTGTTTGCGCAACCGTGGTGTGGATGGAAGATGAAGGGAGAACAAGGGATGATTTGGTCAAGAGGTATGCAGACCCTCACTTCGGACTTGGCATCGATTGGTGCCGCCTCCCGACTACCGGGCTAGGGTGCCAAGGACAACGAAGACGTTTGGTTAGATACACTTGTTGACAAGTCGAAGAGCCGACAGTAATGGCGCTTGTGTCATGAGTGTCATTGCCTTTCCGCCACCAACCACGATCTTACACCTGAATGATACTATGCATTATATTACTTGTTTTTTTGGTTTTATTTTGTATGCTGTAATGTTTAGTATTTTGATGGTTCATATATCCTACCTTTTTGCATTGCAGCACAATAGCTGAGAGGTTTCCCATTCTTAGTGAATACATAATGCTGATGAGGCCGATGTCGATGAATATTTCACACTGATTTCAATCAGTAAACCAATTAAGTAGGTCGTCATACAAACGGCACGTCATACTCTACATTGGGGATTGAAATATGAACCAAACAAATCTCTGGATGATAGAAGCTTCACCCTGCAATATATAGACTATAGTCCACAGCAACACTACAAAAAGCGACCGCCAGCCACAGTAAAAAGTACAAAGATAATTCTCTAAACGGCGAATAGCATCGACATCTACGTCACCGGGATCACACCAGTGTAAGACGCAGAAATTGAATCCGATACGGCTCAGGCGAATGGAACCGAATATTTGTCTACTGCGTGACATAAGCCACTAGTGAATTCACACCTGAAGTGTTTATGTGAAATTTAGAAAAAAATTCCAGTAGAACATCACAAACAATACCAATACCGTCGCAATAGAAAGAAGTAGAATGCGGACATTTTGCCTGAACACATGCACAAAGGCACGGAACAAATTGCTGTCGACAATCCGCAAATGCAAATCTCCTGAGGTACTCCGTACACCCAACTGTTACAAATATAATACAGGTGGTGAAACAGAAGCGTACTAGCAGAAGGTAGACAATACCTTAATAATTACGGCAAATCACTCACTGGTTTCAAGTAACAACTTGAGCAGGGACGTGGTGTTTGGCTGTTAACTAGGCCCTATCCAGCTCCATTTAATTTTAAATTGGTTGTCAATATCATCGCTTCATTTTATCTAATGCGCTTGCTCATCTATTGTCAGTGAATACACCGGCAGACATGCAGCTAGACGAGCCAGATCCTATTCCGCAGTTCCTTTTGTCATCTTGGCGATCACTGTCAGATTCAAATAAACTGATTCGAAATTTCGCTGTACGTAAGCGCAACCCATGTCACCACGACAAGTTGGGCACCCATAAGTTTGTGACCACCGCTTTAACTCAGCTTGGTCCTCGGGAAAAAGTCCCATTTGTACATGAGTACGAGGACCACGATGTGTTCGTGGAAACGCTGATACAATGATCGGTTGGACAAACAAAAATTTCAATATTCTTCGGCATTTGCTTTGCGCCTTCAAAATGCAAAGTACTGTTTCAAGACTGGACCGACACACCGGTTCGCTATCAGGGAACAGTCATTGGAAGTAGTAATTGTGTCACCTTTGGTGGTCACATCACTGAGAATGTTACTTCGCGTATCAGCAAAGCACATGTGGCTTTCCTGAGGCCCAACTATCTATGGAGATGGCGGGATATTAGCCTGCCAGTGAAAGGTAAAGTGTATAACACTGCAGTAAAATCCCTGTTACTGTACGTAACAGAAATCTGACCAGTGCGCGGCGAAGACATTGAATGCTTAGCCGTGTTTGACTACCGGTGCTTGCGGAGGATTACTCTCGTCTCAACGGAACACCGAGTGAGTAACGCTGAAGTCCGTCAGTTGGTTTTGAAAAAGAAGCCTTCTGATGCCTCAATCGACTGCTTGATGAATCTTAGTCGCTTATTGGGCTAGGCCGTGTCCTCCGTATGCCCACTGATCGGCTTCCTCGGCGTGCATTATACGCCGTGGATGTATCGAGCTGGGCGAAACGGCGAGGTGGTCAGCCCATAACGTGACATAGAGGCACGAAGAAATTGACGGACAGGCTGGTGCTTGATGTCTTCGTGGATGGCGCTCCCAGGAAGGTCTACACCGATGATTGGAGACCGCATCAGACATGGCGCAGTCACGCAGTCTGTGGGGTTCCTGCATTCGATTTGTTGCTTACATCTGGTTGTTGATTTTCGCTTCATTCCAATTAGTCTAACGCACTTCCTACTTGTTTCTATTTTATTTACATTCTATCTGCATTCAAGTTCACTATCTTGATGTGGTTATTTATCGTTCTTCTTGCGAGCTGAGTCGTGGCAACTGGATCCACCGCACTTCGGTGCTCGGATAATAATAATGATAATAATAATACTAATGCGTATATTTCTCTTGATGAAACTGTCTATAGCAGCACAGATCGATTTGTACAGAAGAACCCATGCCCTTGCATGGGTGACATGCGTAAGGTGAAGTATTGGGATATGCGTTTCATGTATTAACATCTTGGCGGATGGTTGAGGCCAAAGCCTAGTTATGAAAACATTGGTGTTTATGTCTTCGGGCCCCACTTGGAATAGCTCATCGTGGGATTTTTCTCATGTGAATATAGAGATTATGGTAGTTAGATGAAGGCAATTGGCGAGTCTGTTTCTAAATGTTGCCACATTGTCACATGAACTAAGGGTTATTGGTAGTTTATCCTACAGATAGCTATATCTGACCAGTCGCTATATCTGACCGTCGCGCAGATTATCAAGGGTCGCCTTATCTGCTGCATACAGCAGGGCGGATAAGCGAAAACATGCTACTGCTGGCGCCTCCCTTTTTCCTTTTCCACCTTTTTCTCTTACTCCCATCCCGCCCCCCATTACTAACCTTCCTTCTATAATTCCCAGCTTAATTGACAGCAACCGACGTGCTACTGGAGTAGAACCATCTGCAGCCACCATCCCACAGCACCTATCGGACGCCTATCGGCAAAAGTTCCTTATAAGGCCACGCTGTCCCGTTACCATGGCGACATTCAACGTCCGCACTCTAAGACAAACAGGTCAGCAGGCTGCACTCGCACGCACCTTAGACACACTGGGTGTTGATGTGTGTTGTGTGTCCGAAACTAGGATTAATGACCCTAACGGGGTTATTGAATTGACTGCACCCGGCTTATCCTCTCGTTATTGGTTGCACGCATCCGGAGACGCCGATGCGGCACTCACGGGTCAAGCTGGTGTAGGTATCATTCTCAGCTCCAAGGCTGAGTCATCGTTTTGTTTGATTGGATTCTGGTGAACAGCCGTTTATGTGCAGCCCGTTTGACTACATCAGCTAAGGTGAATTCGCGAAGTAAAACAAAACGCTGTTTGTTTGTGATTTCTGCTTATGCTCCCACGGACTGCAGTTCTAATGCAGTCAAGGACACTTTCTATCACGAACTGAACACGCTGCTACGCAGTGCTACTAGTTCAGATATTGTAGTACTTGCAGGGGGTATGAACGCACAAGTAGGGCGTCTGAGCTCTTCAGAAGCTCAGCTGGGGTGGAAGTATGGACTTAACGCCGAACGGACTGACAACGGCGAGCGTCTGCTGCAACTGTGTGCGGAGCACC